TGAGTCCCCCCCCCCCCCCCCCCCCCCCCCGTCGTTACGCACGGGTCTTCAACGGCTTCGACAGGTACGCCGGGATCGGTTATGTGTCGCACAAATCGGTCGAATCAGCCTGCTGCCGAGAAATAGAGACGAACAAACCGCTTCACGCACCCTCAGCTTTGGTCGAAAGCCCCAATGTGCCCGCCTCTAATACCCCCCTCGCCTACCCCTTCCACAGAATCGCCTTCGCTTGTCTTCTTTTCTCAAGGCCCTACTGCCATATTCGCGATGCAGCGCACTCCCCACAACCCACCTCGTGGGTAGTCCGACAGGAACCCGCCCCCCCCGCTGGACTCCAAGCCAGGACTTCCTCGAGACGACCGCGAGAAGATGCGGCGGGAGTTGCCGAGCCTGCCGCCTCCTCCACCGTAGCTCGAGCCGCCGCTGTCACCGCTTTCGTAGTCCGGGTCGAGAAGAAAGTCCGGCAGAGGGTTTCCGGTGACCACGCACGATATCACGACTGCGAGCTCAGCCAGGCTAAGATGGCGCAGCTCACACCAAATCTGCTCGGCGCGAAAGCATGGTAGGGGTGTACGAATGTGTCTTGTCGATACTACTGCTGTTAGGTTTCATTTTTTGCTCCACGAGAGATTAGATCGAGGTAAACGGCGACGGGGAGCAGCAGAGAACACGTGGAGAGAGCATGGGCAGTACATGGGAGCATCCTATCGAGGCCCCTATCGCAAACCTACATCGAATCGCAAAAGAGTGACGTCCTTCCGTTGACCACCCTCCTGCTGACCTACCGTTACACTGCGTATAAGGTAGCAACACGCACGCTTAGGAGCAGCCGCAAAACCACATCACTCAACACGCCACAGCAGTAGCAGCAGTAACCTCAACCTCCTATCCCCGAAGCTCACCTCCGTAGCGATGTTCAGCATGGCCTCAAGCGACCCCACCACGTAAGCAACCGCCCCCTTCGTGACATCGTACGGCAGCAGCGCCACCCGGAAGGACACTCCTAGAACCGCCGAGGCGCCCCCCGCCGCCCACCGCAGCAAGGCCAGCAGCGGGACGCCCCCGAGCAAGTGCGCCACGCCTCCCTGCAGCGCCGCCAGGCCCCCGTGCAGGGTCGCCCACGGGTGCAGCCCGAGCCCCACCAGCACGCCGAAAATGCTCGGCGAGCGCCGGCGCGATTCCTTCTTCGGACTGCTGTTGCTGCGGCTCGTTGGGCCAAGGAGCCCGCCCTTAGCGTCACGGCGTCGGCCTCCCACGACTACCACCTGGACGCCACACCCACTACTACCGCCGGTTCGGGGCGAACACTCTCCCCCAAGCGTGCTGGCCGGTCCTCCTGCTGCTGGTGCTCTGCCGCAATCGTCGACGAAACGGCTGCTGCTGTTGTTGTAGTCGGAGCACTCGGTGTCGTCGTCGCCTCCCCACTCCTGTTGTTTCTTGTCTCGACGGCGAGGGTCGGCCTTGGCGCTCAGGCACGGTGACGGCGGGCGTGAGCACCCCCCGGCCTCGTCTCCCGCCCCGGTCGTGCTACCATGCACGCTGCCGTTGTTCCTGTGGAGGCGATGGGGAACTTCCTCCTCGGGCGACAAGTTGCGACCCGTTGTCGCAGGCCCGCTGCTTCCCCCCCATAAAGGCTTCCCTTCGAAGTCCCGCCCTTGTCCGGGGTGCTGCCGCCGTAGCCTAGGGTTCTCGGGGTAGTCTGCTTCTTCCTTGGTGACGCGCTCGGCGGTATCGGCGTCGCTGTCTCCGCCGCATTCCGGGGATGTCCGAGAAGATGATGCCACGTATTCGATCAGGTCTCTCACCGACAGGAAATCCAGGACGCGTTGGCTGACCTCTCCAAGCAGATATCCCGCCGGCGCCAGGAAGGAGGCAAGGTCCACCTCCATGCTGACCTATGGCGTCGGAATGGGGTGTTTGGCAGCAATCACCTTCCCTCCCTTTGTTCCTCTAGCACGGCACGCAGGACACGGGTGCGGAGAGCCCGCTCCTCCAGGTTGACGTTTTTCAGAAGATTTTCCCAAACGCCCTTTCGAGCGCTGCAAGAACTCGACTTCCACCAAATGGGCAGACACGAGGGACGAGCCAGAGGGCGATGCCCATGCGCCGTTCCAGCGGCTGTGGACGCGAGCCACAAGCAAAGAAAGCACCGCTGGTCATGTGACCGTTGTGTGTCTGGTCTACGATGTGTCCACGTGGTTGGGCGGAGAGTGGCACGGGGGGGGGTACCATGAGGGGCTCCGTGTTCCAGAAGAGTTGCCGTTCAACCGCCAACCGCGGGCCCAAGTTGTGGGTCGCCGAGCAACAACTTGTGGTGTCGTGCTTTGAACTTTCTCGGCCAGGGCGTGCGCGAGGGAAACGAGACCATGAAGGCGAAGGTCGTCTTGCTTTCACTAGGGATCATGCTCCTTTTCTCAGGCCTGCCTGCCTGCACGGGAAAACGTTCTGCGAAGGACTGGAGCAAGGTGGGTCAACTTTTGATATCCACTTGTACCCAAGATACACGTGGGTGTGTGCTGTGTGTTGATCGGGGTGCACTGCGAAGGAGCCGCCCATTGCCCAAACAGGACGACGGATGTACCTCCCATGTCGCTGGTTGTTGATGGCCCTCTCGTTGTATTTTGGATCTCTAGGTTTTGTTCGTGGAGAATGTATCTGAAGAATTTTCCAGCTGAGACTGGGGCACTTTTCTGCACACGGAAGAGGGAACGGGAACTCGGAATTCATGCCTGATTGGCCAGCAGCACTATACTTCGAATAACTACAGCTCTCTCACAGCTCTCCCTTCTTCCCCTCGCTCCTCGACAAGCTTTTGCTTAGACATGGGTT